GATCATTCAGCACTTCTGCAAATGAGACCACAAAATCTCAATTCAGAGACCCAGAAAGAAGGAGCATGAAATCTGTGGCCATCTATGAAAAGTGTGGCTTAACTGACCTTATTCAGCACTGTACAAGAACTATGCAGCAAAGGAGGGGCCCAATCCATCCCTAAGGCAGAGCTCAGCTATTCCAAGAGCTCATCCTTCTTCACAATTGAATGGTGTCACTTAATGCATGTTTGTTCTGAAACAAAAAGGGAAAAACTCGTAGCAGCCTTTTCCACCATGTAGCTCCTGACACAGCTCCAGACCAGCTCCACTTTGAGAAGTAAATGTAGCATAGATCCCATGGCAAGAATAGTATGCAATTATATTATCTGCAATTATTTGAAAATGCATATGCAAGTGAGAGGAAGGATAAAATAATACTCATTATGCACTATTGATTTTGCAATCTAATCCTCATTTAAAGCAGATTTCATATGTGCAATTAGCTAGCTTTTAGAAAAAGCAAACAGTAAAAGGAAAAGAAAAACCTTTCCATTGTGCATCATATTGTTGTACGTGTCATAGGGGCTGGAGCCTTCAGATCTATGGCAGAGAGCCCTGCCACTCAGAACTAACAGGGAAACTGATGAGAATGTCTTTTCATCCACGACTGGACAGGGGCAACATTAGACAAATTACTATGTCAGAGACTCACAGGTATTTGCTGACAGAAGAGGACTGGTGGCTGGATGGGAGTATCCAGAGATCTGTGGCTCTATGATAAGCTGTGAAATACTTGATTCTGCCTGCTTTCTTCTAACACAGTTCATTCAGCTTCCTAATACCCCACCTTTCCCTGCCCTATTCTTCTTCACTGCTTTATCCATCCTAGTCTTTTTCTATCCATTCTTACATTTTCTTCCCCCTCTAGTCTTCCTTCTGTATCTCTTCATTAGATCCCACTCCCAGTTTGGGAGCATCACATCTCAGCTTCCTCTTCATTCCTTCCTACATGTTTCAATCATACCAGCTCTAGGCTCTTTACCCAGGACTTTGTCCTTTTTCATCCTTCGTTTTTCCTTCAATCCTTTCTCAGCTGTTTCCTTTCAGTCCTCCCTCCAAGGACAAAATTCCCCATGTGTCTAAGAGCTATACTGTCACAGCCACATCTGTTACTACAATCTCTTTCCCTTTGGCCTTGCTCACTCACCTGTTCCCTAGGGATCAAACAATCTCTGGTCCAGCTCCACCCACCACCTGCTTAGGATAGGTCTGGAACACAATCACTGCCACAGCTGCAGAGCCATGCAGATATTCCCACAATAACTTCACACTAGCTAGTTCACCTCTTGCTGCCTCATGTGTACAGTGCTCAGCTGCAAACCCTACCAAGAAGGTGAGTAGAGATTAAGGAGAACAGGCATGTATCTGTATCCCTGTCTACGTCTATAGACCACCAGTACAAGCAAATAAAAATGCTTGGCAGTATATGAGTGCATAGCAGTTCTCTTTCCACAGCCAGTTTCTGTTTTCTTCTAACACTGGAAATCTGTCCAGATTTGAAAATGAAGATGGGCTACACCCTAGTACTAGACCTGTGGTAAATTCTGACTTTGGTTTGGTATTGTGTGATGTATCACAGCTAGAAATTAAAGCTTTTATTAAGAAGAGAGTATTAGCTTTTCTGTGGTACACAAAGAACCTATTAGAAAACGAGGTATATTCCATCATAAGAAAGATTACAGAAGTGCAGTATGGTTATGCTTAGAGAGGCTGTTAAAGATCATCTTGAGCTTTCAAAAGGAGAACATTTTTTCTTCCTTTTTTCCCCCAAGGCCAGTCTGGACGTGGCTCTGGGCAGCTTGGTCTGGTGGTTGGTGACCCTGCATATAGCAGGGGGTTGAAACTCGATGATCATTGTGGTCCTTTTCAACAGAGCCCATTATATGATTCTATGATTCTATGATTCTATGATACTGGACTAGCTTCTTCCTCAGAAGTCTATGGGATATTGCACAGCATTTTTTTCATTCTCCAAAACATGTCCAAAAGCTTGTTCCCAAATTACTTTTTCATTTACATATGCATACAGAATGCAGGAAGGCACATTTTTATCCTGTGCCCTATCAAAATCACAGAATCACAGGATCATAGGGGTTGGAAGAGACCTGTGATAAATCATTAAGACCAACACCCTGTTAAAGCAGATTCCCTACAGCAGATCACACAGGAAAGCATCCAGATGGGTCTTCAGTATCTCCAGAGTATCTCCCCTCTGGGCAGCATGTTCCAGAGCTCTGTCACCCTCAAAGTGAAGAAGTTTTTCCTTCTGTTTAGACAGACCTTCCTATTTTCCAGTTTGTGCCCACTGCCCCTTGCTTTGTCAGTGGGTACCACTGAAAAGAGCCTGGTTCCAACCCCTTTAGTCATATTCTTCAGATATTTATAAGCATAGATAAGATCTCCTCCCTCTCAGGCTCCTCTTCTCCACATGATCAGCCCCAGATCTCTCTGCTGGCTCATGGCCTACCTGTTGTTCACCAGGATGTCCAGGGCCTTCTCTGCAGAGCTCCTTTCCAGAAAGGGCAAATATTCATTAGTGCTTTTTGTGCTGCTCTCTGGTGTACAGATGGATGTGAAAGATGCTCAGATGTAGGACAGCTTGCCTTTGTAACCCTCAACCTCCACCATGTAAATGTCATGACTCAGGCCTCTCACGCTATATATATACTGCTTCTTAAAAATAAATTATTAGAATGGTTTATATTTGTCTGAGTTTTTAGGGCATTCTCACTACTGCTTCTCAGATCTTCCTCTACAATCTCTGTGCTTTTAAATGCTAAATGAAACTTTCCTACAGTCTTCAGATACTTCCGGGTAGTGCTTTGAGGAACAAACAAACTTCAAGATGCAAAGTGGAAGTGAATACATTGCATCAGCAATGAGAAAATCAGAAAGCATTAGGAACTCCCACAAAGATATGGGATGTCACAGATGTGTACAGCAGCTGGCTCATGAGGGAGTGTGCATGGCTACAGGTGGGCATCACACACCGGACCAGAGGCCCATGTATGTGCAGCATTCAGGCACAGTCATAGACACTGTATCTGTGTTGCTAATGTGCATATCAAGAGACTCCCAAGTGCAAAAAACTTACTCAGAGAATATATCCAGGAGCACAGTTACTAGATCTCATGCACTAATCTCCAGCATAACATGTTCAGTCTGACATTGGCGGGATCTTGAGATGAAGTGTTGGAGGATGGAGATGTTTGGGTGACATTCACAAATAAAGGAGGGGGAGGGCCTGTTGGACCCATGCAGGTATGTATCTGTGGGGGTTGGGCATGCAATGTAGCTGAAAGTGCTTATGAATGGTGAATATCAATGTATACACAGCTGAGATCAAATATTATCATATTACTAGTTCTAGAAATTTCAGTATATAGTCTTGGGGATTTACATGAGGTTCTGAGAAAGACTTCAGGAACTGGAACTGAACATGCTGCTTTTTGGGGGGGAAGATGAGTGTTTGAAGCAGGCACAGCAGCAGAGTACAGGGGTTTCATTCTGTGGGATGAGAACAGTGTGGTTCATGTGCACTTACACCATCAGCAGCAACAGGGTGGGAAGTGACATCCATTCATGTCTGTATGGCGGGGATACCTGGCCTCTATCCTCCGTGGGGACTGCCATTTGCAAACTACCTTGATTTCCTCTGGAAGGACCCAGGCAGCTATTCAGAACAAGAAAGAAGCTCATTCTGCACAACCAAAACAAAACCAAAACAAAACCAAAGCAAAACGACCAGGGAAGGTCTGCAAGAACAGGCAGTTACACCTGCCAGCAGAAGGGCAATTACTGCCAAGGCACACCTGAGCTGGGGGGTGTAGACTGGGAATATACTTGTACACGGGCAATTAGTCCTGAACAGCTGACAGCTAACAGCAGGGCACAAAAAAATGACTGCTGAAACAAAGCCTGCGTGGGTGCTGCCTCATACCACCTGTAGGGAATAACTTACAGCTCCACTTTGGTGAAGGCCTGCAACATCACTAGCGCTGGCTGTGCCACAAGTTGCTGTGGGAAGTGTTGGGAAAAGTTTTCAATTAGCAGTACTTACATCTTGGATTCATTTTACCAGTCACTATATCATTACTATGCAGAGAAAGCAAGTGATGCTGAGCTCATGGTAGGTTTTTGGGTTTTTTTTTCTTTTTTTTTCTTGGTGGAGAAAGGCATGGCTGCAGCTCCTGGATGAGCACTGAGGACTCTCTGGATGGAGCAGGGCTGTAGGCCAGCAGCTTGTACTTGAGATGAGCACATGCTGATGAAGAGTGAGGTATGAATTCAGGTTCTGTTCCAAGGGGAGGTTAAGATTGTATGTAAGAGATGAAGGAAAAGGTTTTCTTTGTTGGGGGTAACACTGATGAGAAAACTAGAGGACTGTAGGACTTCCAGCACGAGAGCCTGTTGTAGAATGGAGCGAGGGCATGCAGTAATAAATCGGGGTGCTGGGATCCTAGATATCTCATTAAAGCTCTTTAATTTTGAAGGCTGCCTTCTTTCCTGCTTCCTCTTCACCCTGAGCCACGGCCAGGTGGCCCTGCTCTCCTTCCTGCCTTTCATCCCACAGCTGCCTTTAGGCCCAGGGAAATCCTGCTCATCCACAGCAGCAACCACGTAGCAACAGCCTTTCCCAGGTGGGGGACCCTCCTGGCATCACAGCAGTGGGCTGTGCCTGTGTTGGCCGGCAAGGTTCGTGTTCTTGTGCTGCCGAGATCCTGCCTCAGTACCCTGCGAGCACCTCAGGTGCCCAGGAAGCCCAGAAGGTCGTCAAAACCCAGGGTAGAAACTCAGGACAAGCTCCGTCCATACATCCAGCTCCAGCGCTGTATTTCTGGGATGATCTTAGCTACATACACGTGAGTGGTGTGCCCCAGAGGGATGTGCCTATGCTATGAAGAAATACGACCCCAACCACACGGGCAAGACACACCAGGAAGGCTGTTCTGGCTGAGATGCACCCCGGCCACACAATCACCCCGGTGGGGCCGCGGAAGGCTCTGGAAGGGTGCCTGCGGATGCCCACCTGCGGGCACCTCAGCCGGCTGCACGGGACCGGCGGCCCCGGGGCAGGCGCGGAGGCTTCCCGACACCGTCCTCTCCCCCGCCGCGTGCGGTCTCGGGTGCGCGTGTGTGCGCGGCGGGGGGAGCAGGGGGCGGACACAGTGGAAATTTCCACTCCCTGCAGCAGCCACAGCAGCCGCCACCACCGCGGCGGCGGGAAGGAGGAAGGCGGGCGCAGGCCCGGAGCCGCCGCAGGGGAGAGGCGGCTCCCGCCCCGCCGCTCGGCCCGCCCGGCTCAGAGCCCCCCTCCTCGGTGCCGGGCGTCCCCCATTCGGCCCCCCGGGAGCAGGGGCGGCGGGGCAGCCCCCGGGCGGGCTGTTGCTCGCGAGGCCGCGGCGGCGGAGGCGGTGCCTGCGGCGGGCGGGGGGCGGCGCGGCGGAGCGTGCGCAGCTGCCGGCGCCCTTTAAGCCGCGCCGCCCGCCCGCCCGCTCGGTGTGTGTGCAGCCCGGGAGCCGCGCGGGCGGGAGACGCCGCCAGCACAGCCGGGGACGCGCTTTCCTCCTCTCCTCTTCCGTTACCCCCTGTCCGGCACCGCCGCCCCCTCTTCTTCCCCTGTGCCCCGCCAATCCCCGCTCCTCCCGCTACGGCCGAGCTCTGCGATGCCCCGCTATGAACTGGCTTTGATCCTGAAAGCCATGCAAAGGGTGAGTGAGGGAGGGGCGACGGGCGGGAGGGGACCGGCCAGGTGGGACCGGCAATCGGGGGACTCCTCTTTTTCCCCCTCTCACCCTATCCAGCCCCGTCCCCGGGGCGAGCAGCGCCCGCCCGCCCGGCCCTCCCTCGCTTCTCGAGGCGGAGTTGTGCGCGGCTCCCGGCCCTTTATCTCTTTCCCCTTTTCTGAATCCTCCCCCGCCGGGAGCTGTCGCAGCGCGGCTCTCCCCGCAGGTAAGCAGCTGCCGGCTGAGCGCAGCCCCGGCTTCGCCCTCCCGCGGTCCCCGCTGCCTCCCGGGCGCTCCCCGCACCTGCCCCGAGCACCTCCCCGCCCGCGGTGCCCCCGGGCCTCGCCCCGCAGCGCCCGGACACGGGTATCCCCTTTGCGGCCCTCTGGTGGGGGAAGGGGGGGGATCTCAGTGTTAATTTTTCAATTTATTCCCTTTTCCGTTCCCCCCCTCCCCTCCCTCCCTTCCCTGCCGTTGCTACCACCAGTTGAGCCGCAGCGATATCGCCCCTTGGAAGGGCTGCCAACCGCTGCTGCTCTTCGGTGGCTCGGTGATAAGCGGTGGTGTGAGCGAGCGGGATGATGCGGTGCTCTGCGAGAGCCCCATCGGGGCTGTGTGATACCTGCGTGTGGAAATAGCGATAAAATAACAGCATCCCGCAATACCTGAGACCCTCTATTTGGGAAACAATAGCTCACGACAGTCCCTCCCCAGTGCCTCCTTTAGCCTTTATCCTTCAGTGCAACACGCAGGGCTGGGGTTGGCATGGAGCAGCACCCATAGCCTATACCCTCCTGGTTCTATCCCTTGCTGTCGCATTTCACCTTTGTTTCTCTGAGCACATACATCTGCAATAGGACATTGAGGAGCAAAGTGACGTTACTCTGTGCCTCCCGTAGTTGCGGGCGCACGTCTTCACGCATTGCATCTGCTACATATACTGGTATATTTCCATTCATTTTACATGTAGCATCCACATGTCAGGGTTGGCTTTTTTTTTTTTTTTTAACTTGGCTTAACTGCAGGAGCTGTAGTAGACTTCTCAGGTGAGTCCCCTAGTGGAGAACTGCGGCAAGTGGAGCAAAGCTGGGGATATCGCTGCACCCCCTCGCGGAGCAGCGCTCAGCCTGGTACCCGTGTGAGCCCTAGGTATGGGGATGGGATACTTTTTGTGGCTGTGCTCGTAATGTGGCAGGTGTACTTGTACTGTGCAGGCACTGTTAAGGCAGAACGGGGCAGGAAGCATAGCAAATGTGGTGTAGTAAGGCACGGAGAAATGCTGCTCTGGAAAGATGCTATAGAGTGCTGCACTGGAGGAAAAACATCATTAGTGCCTAGTGTTTGGCACTGAGACCCAGAGATAGGCTCTTGGTTGTAGAATGCTCCCAGTGTGCGTTAATGCACTGAAGTCCTAACATCTGCAACCTTTCTCTCTTTGATCCTTGTATATTCTTTCCTAATGATGCATCTTAATTTTTTTCTCCTGTAAGCTGTGTGTTTGTACACTGAGTTTTAGTTCAGGAATATTATTGTTTCTAACCTACCCACGTCATAATTCTAAAATCTAGGTAGTTAATCTCTAGGTGCTGTTTCCTTGATGGTTTGCTTTTCAGTGAGTGTCTTACTACTGTTGCCTTTCATGTGCAGTGTACGTTTGAAACAAATTTCTGTGCATGCTGGTTATATGCTGCACAGTACTGCTGGATCCTGACAGATGGGTTGCTCTAATAACTCCTTAATGATGTGTAATCTGAAGCATGATACTAACTTAAATCGATCAAAATATGGAGACCTGATTTTGGCCTGAAATTGCACAGCCCTGCAGAAGTTGAAGCAGTTGTACACAGTGCTGAGTAAATTTCATTTCCCCTTAATGAGAGCTCTCTGATAAAGCCATCCCAAGCAGATGCTCCATGTGCAAGGTTGTCAGTCTCTCTGTGCTGTGGCTGTGAGCTCTATACCTGTTTCAGGCTGAGCTTGAGTGAGTGCTGGCTCGTCCTCTGCTGTCCCTGATACCCCTTCTCATCCAGCAGCTCCCCTGCCCTGTCTTCCTTATGCTTCACTGTTAACTCCTGTGGGCTCCCCTAGCAGCTTGAGTGCAAACCTCAGAGCTGCAGTCTGGTGGATTTTCACAGCTCTCTCTTTGGAGGCAAGTGCTGTGGTTCTATGGGGTTTCCCCCGCCCACGGTTGTTTTTCATAGTTGCCTTGGCATTTGCATGGACCGAGGGAAAACGAACTCCCCCCTAAATCAGTTCTGTTGCTTTAGGTTCCTTTGCTCCCTAATACTCCTGTGTTCAAGTTGGCGGTCCCTCATTCTTTTCTTGCATGTGGCTTCTGTTCTGAGTGATAGAGTGTGTAATGCAGCAAGGCATCTTCCTATCCAGCTGACCTCTGTGTGACTGCGGGACTCTGCTTGTTCAGTGTGGCTCTGTGATTCCATCCCATTCTTCTCTGTCCCTGTTGTGCTTAGCAGATGTCCTCAGTCTCTCCAGCTTTCCTACTGTTGCTGTAAAAACACGGTACCTGAAGCTTAGGGGAAGGAGGGAAAGCACATCTCAAACTTTGTCACCAGCTGATGCGCTGTACTTACCTGAAGGATCGTGGCTTTATTCTGAAGTTAGAGCTGAGGAGCCATTCCCTGTCCTGTCCTGTAGGTGGTGTGCAGTCGTGTATCAGACTTGTAGCAAAAAAATCTCTTGAGTTGCCCATGGGCTGTGTCCTCATACAGCAAAGACCCCACTCTGACTCTCAAGAAACTTTAATTAATAAGAATCCCTAAAAGGGCTTCCCGAGTATATTGATTTTGGGGGGGGGGGGGTGAACAGTTGTTTGTGGTGTCACTGTATTTGAGAAGTAGCTGCAGTGGGAGCAGTTGGGTAGTGCGAGGAGGAGGAGGTGTTCTTGCAAAGGCAGTATGAGACCAGAGAAGTGAGGTAACAGTAACTTACGGTGGAAGTAGTAAATTTTGCCTCTTTTGCTTTCTGCCTTCAAAGTGTTAGTGAACAATAGCATGATAGCAGACTTGTTGCCAGTTCTTAGCAGCATAGAGATGTGTGTGTGTGTGAAGGTGCAGCGCTTGCACTCTGGAGCCTGAGTCAAAGGCTGCAGTTGTGTGGATAGTAGGGATGCAGAATAAAGACATAGCTCTTCATATTTTGCTACAAATAGTGAAGTTTAGTGCATGATTTTCTAATTATTTCTGCCTTTCTCCCAGGAGAGCATTCAGCAGGGGCGTTCTGGCAGCAGGAAGGGACAGTGACCCATTGGTGGATGTGCTGGAACTCTGGCTTCTGGAAAGTGAGCTGTTCTGCAGGGAGCTTTCCTTTGGCTTCCCTCCTGGTCCTGCTGCAGCTCCCTTGGGAGTCTGGGGAAGAACGGAAGTGGGATATGGGAAGGGGAAAGGGAAGGAAGAGATGGAAATGGCTTCCTCTTGCTCTGCTGCTGTTTTGCAGACCGACCGCAGGGCGGCAATACGAGACACCCCACGCGGGAGCCGGCAGCCTGGGGAGCGTAGGACAGACAGAGCAGGCGGAATCCCCGTGCTGTGCTTGCTGCTGCCCGGCTGGCAAGTTGGGACAACCCTCTGCGACAGGACAGCGTTGTGACTGCAGCTGCAGAGAATGGGCACTTGAAAAAACGTCTAGTAGAGGATCTTGCTGAAAATGAGAAAGCGTGTCAGTATTTTTGTTAGCATCGTAGAATCATTTGAGTTGGAAGAGACCTTTTAAAGATCATCTGGTCCAACGCCCCTGCAATGGACAGGGACACTTACAGCCAGATGAGGTGCTCAGAGCCCTGTCTAACCTGACCTTGAATGTCTCTAGGGATGGGACATCCATCACCTTTCTGGGCAACCTGTTTCTGTGCTCTCCCCCACTTCATCTGTAGTGAAGGCATTGTGATTTAACACCTGTTTACCTTATTACGGCCATTCTCTTAGCTAGGGAATGTGTTCACCCACCTCAGTAGCCCTGCAGTGCACTTGGACTCTCAATTTGACCAGCATACTCACACAGTGTAACTGGTGTTCAGCACCTGTTTGCTGTCTTTTGAGCAGGTTGCTGCTTTTCAGAAACTGTCTACCTGCTGTGGAGATCATTCTTCTATTTTAAGAAAGCTGAAGTAATGGGCAATAGTGTTGCTTGACATCTTGACTATTATGCTTAATTGCTATGTAGGCAGCTGCAGCAATTGGGCTTTTGATATTTTAGTTGCTAGGAAAAGGAGAAGGGAGTGAGGGGGGCAGTAAGCAGGCAGATACTGTTTTTATTTTCTTTCTTTTTTTGATAAACCCACCTATTCTTACCACTGAATTATGCCTTTCCTGTACGCTCTTGCACCACCACCCCCGTTTGGTTGGTTGAAATTACGAGTTTTCTTCTGTTTCCTTTGACTTTTGTAGTGGGCTGAAGTACACTCTTCATGATATTATGTGTAGCAGGGAATGGACTTCTGTGGGGGAGGTGCTGGAATGAAGACCAAATAGCTGGAACCAAAAGAGAGGATTGGAAAGCTACAGGGTCTGCAGTTGACTTTCCTATAAGAGTCAGCTTTTTGTTTTCTGCCTTAAGCATTGCTGTCAGAATACTGGATTTGAACTGTGTGATGTAGACAGTGTTAAAGGATGATGCCATCTTTGCTGACGCTTGCCATTTTTCTTTCCTAGGATCTGAAAGTAGCAAGTTTCTGCCAAGTGTGTGATATTTGCCTGGTTTGGATATGGAGGAGGTGAAGGATTATTATTTTCTGTGAAGTTGTTTAAACCTTTTTATAGCAGATAGTTGTTAGCAAGATGCATTTGGCAAAATTGAAGTGAGTACTAAGATGATGGCAGGAATTAAGATGGTCAAAAGTCTCTTGGTTTATACAGGCTTATTCAGTGATTGAATATGTGTAATAGGATGGGCTGGTGACTCTGCAGCTCTCATTTCCTTAGCTTTTGAGCTGCCTGAGTGTAGAGGCAGGGCTGTGTGCAGGCTGTTGT